GTATATTAAAAATTGAAAAGAAAATATAAAGTAAACAAATTCATGTGTCCGATGATTTTAATATAATAAAATATAAATCAAATAAATATTAAAAGAATATTTTAAATGATTTTTCCGTAGAGAGAAAATAGTTAGGGAAAAAACTTGTAGTGTGTTTGTTTATTTGATGTGATATTTTGAATGTAAAATAAATTGGTAGCATAATATAAAAAAAAATAATAATTATTTGATGTGGTATTTTTAAAGAAAAAAAGAATTAGTATAATAAAACCTATGCTAAAATCCACAAAAGAACACAACCTAAAGGGTTTTGAATTTAGATGATTTACAAATAGCTCACCAATTTATATACAACTTCACCCCCACAATGGACAATTGAGATCGAATTGATTTAACGGCTACGATTGCCTTTGGAATGTTCTAGGCTATTTACAATCTTCTACGTGAATCTAAGCATATTTTTAATATTATCTACAAGTATCCATAAGACTTCAGATTAGTCTTCAGGTTTTGACTTATTTTATAGGTTACAAATTCGGTCCGAGACATTCTTCCTCACTTGATGTGGGTATTGCTCTCAATGTTTTAAATTGCGCACCAAGTCCTCGAATTGGTAAAGTCTTTCCACTAGCTCCAAATTCCCCTCGGACTTAGGTAGTCCACGCCACCTTACTAAGTACTCAGTCGACGGTGATCGATTCTTATGGTGCACGCCACTCGACCGGCCAAGATCTTCTTTTTGCAACCTTGTTGTATGTTGTCCACATCCAGGATGGTGCTCTTGTCGACACATTCTGACTCGGATTTCGGGCATCCATGTGGTAAGACTTAAACAAATTTATGTGGAACACTGAGTGAAGTTGGGACAATGCCTCAGATAGTTTCATTTTGTATGCCACCTTACCCAGTTTCTTTAGGATCGAAAACAGGCCTTCGTATCACCTCATTAACCCCTTGTGCATGCTACCAATACTAAGTTTGTAGGGTATTAGTTTCACTCGGGGGTTTACTCATTGCGCACTTTCGGATAGTGGTTGCGAGTTCTTATGTCATTAAAATAATAAAAAAAAATAAAATTACTAAGTCCCTCTCTTTGAACTCCTAAAAAGTTCGCCCGGTCATCTACTTCTTCATGCACTTTTGAGACTTCTTCAAGTATTGGTGGTGTGTTTTTCCTTGCAAAGCTCGGACTGAACATAGCATACATTATCGGCCTTAAGATCGTCAAGGCAGGGATGGGATGGAGAGGAATAGTTTTTAAAAAAATAATTATTTAATAATTGATGTCAATTGATTATGTAAAATTAAATTTTTATAATAGATTAAATAAAAAGTTATGATAATATTTTTTTTTAAAAAAAATATTAATAAAAATATAATGAATATATATTATTTGACAAAGAATAAAATTTAGTATGATATAAAAAATTAAAAATAAAATATTAATTTATTAATAATATAAATTTAAGTGTAATTAACATTAGATTATATTTTATATGTTATTATAATACAATATATTAATAAGACTCTGTCTGCATATTTGATACTTCGTAATGATAATATTTGAAATGAGATCATCGTATTCAAGGCGGTAGCAAAAGTGTAGGTCCACATATGTACGTTTTTTTTACCCAAAATTTTTCAAATTTTACTATTTATATTCTGCAATTCTTTGAAAAAAAAAATATAATTTTTTCTTTCACAAAACATCCCATCAAACATTATTTTAATACCAAACTCAAATCAAAATTTTACCAAACTTATCAAAAGAAACATCGGTGACAAAAGTGTGAATCCCACATATTTAATAATTCCTCCGTCCAACGATATTAGTTAAATTTTTTTAAGCCGTCTCACCAAATTGGTCATATTTCCTAAAAAAACAATAATTAACAAATGCTAATTTAAATCACAAATTTAACTATATTATACCATCTCCGTCCCACATAAGAAATAATATTTGAATTCCGGCATAAAAATTTAGATAAGTAGAATAAAATAAAAATTAAATGATGTGATGAGAGAGAAAATACATATTTATTTATTTTTATTTAAGTAGCGTGATAAGATAAAATGTATTAATTATTTCTTACTTTGAAAATGTTTTAAGGTATGTGAGACGGATGAAGTACTATTAAATTACTAATATTTTTAACTTTATTATTTGTTTGATTATAAATTTGAAAGTTGAGCTAGAATTTTGAATAATAAAAATTAAAATATTTATTTAATATAATAAATAGATATTTATGTAATTTTTAAAATTTTAATTTAGTTTTTAATATAATATAAAAAATATAATATTTGATTTGGTATTTTATGATTAGAAAATTTCAGTGAATTTTGATTTTGAATTTTTTTTTTTAAAAAAAGTTTTTTTTGCCGCCCAAAATTATAAAATTACTTTTCATTTAGTATTTCGGCATAAAATATTATATTTTGATATCGTATATACAATTCGGTTAGAGTTGGTTCAGTACGATATACCAAAAATATCGGATTATACCGTACCGATTTTTTTAGATTTTTATCAATACCGTACCAAAAATTCGGTAAACACAAAAATATCAATGTTTTTATTTACTGTATATACTAAAAATATCAAATTGTATGTTGTTACAATACCAAAAAAAATCGATATGGTATCATATCAGACTGAAAATATAAATTTTTTTGGTATCTTTTTATACGGTATGCATGCTATTTCGGTAATTCAATATCTTTGCATTCGTATGTTCGATATACCAAATTATTGATATGGTATCAGAATGGTAAAATATCAAAAAAAATAAAAATAAAAATTGATACAATATACAATATGTGGTATAAATTTCAGTATGTCATAACGAAAGATTCATACCTACCATTGTGTATTAGTAAAAATGTACAAAACACTAGGTATTTTATTTATTGTGTGAAACTCTCTTGTGTTAATATGGTTTTAAACCATAACTACAAAATTCCACCGATCACACCAATTCACTCACTCATACAAAATTGAGGAGGATTAAAACTTAATATCCTGATTTATATGGGAAGGATACGGTGCTGAAAGTTCAGCACCAATTTTCTAATTCAGCACACATAAAATACATAAATAGCACATGTCTTTTATTACAAATACATATAGTAGGTAATAAAGGCATATGTTATTTGTTCATAATTATAACGTGTACTGTATGAGAGTATATCATGTTTTGTATTGTGTATGCTGTGTGAAACTATATCATGTGGGTTTAAGTCATGTGTTGTATTTATATTATAATAATGTATATTGTGTGTTGTCCATAATAATATTATGTTGTCCGGTAGCACACGGTGTGCTATTTAATACAATGCTTAAATTTACATTTAACACTGTAGCCGCCGCTGATTTATACAATTAAATAACATAATTAATTATTTAACTATAAGGATCAAGATAGGTGCTTTACTTTTGAGTTAAAAAAATAAAAACAAAAAAATATGTGCAAAATAGCAAAAAATTCTTTTGTGGTTTTCCGAATTAGTTGAAAATTCCCCGTAGTTTTAAAATTCCAAAAAATGTACTTGTGATTTTCAAAATGTTATACATTTTATCATATTTGACCGTTATACCTATATTTATATATATTTTAATTTATTTCCCTCTCTTCTCTTTTTTTCTTCTTCTCTTTTCCCTCAACAGATTCTTATTCCCTAAATTCTTCTTCACAAGCCAAGTTTTTTCCAATTCTTTTTTTTTTCTCCAATTTTTTTTCCATGCCCTGCAGCCTCACCCTGTTCTTGCTTTTCTTCTTCTTTCTCCATTTTTTTTTCATTCTTCTTCGGGTGTGTTTGTTTGGGGTTTTGGATTTTAAATTGTGATTTGAATAGTAAAAATTTTGAATTTGAATAGTTGTATGATGTGATATAAATAGGTGTTGATGTGATGTTTTGAATGTAAAATTAATTTTTAATATAATATTAAAAATGAAAAATAAGTGTGTGTTGATTTTTTTGGGAGAAAAAAATGGATGAACAGTGGATTGAAAATCCAATTCCCCAAACAAATACACCCGACAAATTTTTCTTTAAAAAATGAATAATTGAAAAATAATAAGAAGAGAAAGATGATGACAGGCAGAAGCCGTTGGAGAGAAAGAGAAGAAAAAAACAGGCAGGACCAAGATTTTTCCTTTTTTTTTTCCTCTATTTTCTTCCTTCTTTCTTCTTTATTTTTTTTTCTCCAATTCTTTTTTCTTCCTCAATTCTTCTACTGCAACCAACAACATCAAATTCTTTCGGTTCTTCTTAGATTGATTTCAAATCTGGATGTCAAATTGATTTTTTAGATTTCGGGTTTGGTAAAACAAGGAAGAAATCGATAGTAAACAATAAATTTGGGATCAATTTCAAATTTGGTTATGTTTAGTGGATTTAAAATAAAAAAAAAAAAGAATTGAGTTAAATTTTATAAGTACGGAGAAGAACAAGGAAGAAGAACAACAAAGGAAGAAGCTGTAAAAATAATCATTAGGGTATTTTAGTAATTTTATACAAAAATATATCATTTTATGGACAAAAAATCGCATAGCAGGGGGCGTGACATACAACCACCGTTAAATCCTAACGGGGAATTTTTTTGCAACATTTTGAAAATCACAAGAAAGTTTTTTAAAGTTTTAGAACACGAAGATTTTCAGCAAAATCGAAAAACCACAAATCTTTTTTTTTACTATTTTGCCAAAAAGATATATATTGAGATTGGAAGATATATATATTGATATTGGAAGATATATATTACACTGTTAACTAAACAATACTTCATTTTTTCCAAAAAAAAAAAAAAAAAAAAAAAAAAAACCACAATCCGAATAACAAAGGATATAAAAATAAGATAAAATAATAAGTTAAAAAGACAAAAACAAGCTAAATTCGATCTGTCTAAGTAAATGCTAATCACGCTGCTGCTGCTGCTGCTGCTGCATCTACCCACTCTCGACAAGGCGCGTGGTCACACGCCCGCCCCTTCAAGAGACGATTAATTAAATCTGGACTTCATTGGAGGGGGGAAGGAACAACTATTGCTTCCTCGCCGTGACGAACACTCCTCGAGAACGCACCAACACACTTCCACTCTGCCCATTCGCCGCCGGAAGCCGACGAGACGTCCGGAGATCGCCGGGGAATAATCGCCTGGAGGAGGCTAGTAGTTTAGATTGAGAGACTATCGATTTTCGAAAATTGTTTTGCGGATTGACGGATGGAGGAGCTGGCGACGGCGGCCGGAGTGTACACGCCGAGGACGATACAGGCGTGGAGAACGCTCCTTAACTGGATTACGTTCTTCTTCCAGATCTTCGCTCAGATCCTGCGCGGTACGCCGTCGTTTACTCAGGTTCTCTCCTACGTTGGCTTCCGTCATGGCTACTCGCTCTCCTCCGCGCCTCACGCGCCGTCGGAGTTCAAGCCTATTCCGGTGGTGGAGCTGACGGAGTTCGAGGAACAACTGGAAGAGGCGCCGCCTTGTCCTGCGGTTTCAGTCGCCGGTGGCGACCGGAAGACGGACGATTCTCCGCCTTTGGAGAAGCTAACGGTAACTCCTTCTCAGTGTTTTGAGTATGAATTTGGGGAAACTTGAATTTGATTGGTTAATGGATGATAAATGAACGAATGCATCTGCGGTAATTGCTCTTGTTGACTTTTCAAAGCGTTTGAATCAATCGTATCTGTTGATAATTTGTTCATTTAATTTTTAGTATTTATCATATGCGCGAAAGGAACCTAGGGATTGTGTTTTCGTGTAGCATGAGTTACTGAGATTCTACTTTTTGTTAAGTATAGATAGGTTTGTTAGATGCTAGAGACAATGATAAATTTGTTACCAACGCCAGAATCACGTTTTTTTTCGGCTGAGATAATGATAATGATAATGAAGATTTTGGTCTAGATTTCAATAGACAGGTAGGCACAACTGAACTGGATTGTCATAATCTTGATACCTAAGAATGACTTTAAACATTGCATTAAATCACTGTCTACCTAAAAATTGTGATTTTTGGAATTAAAAATACGTATATTTAGGTTAGAATGATCAAGAATCAAGTATCAGATGATTAGTCTTGTGTGATGCTGTCAGAGTGTTTACTTGAATTTCACTTATGAAGCTGTCTTTCATCAGCACGTCCTTTGAGGAAGGGTAATCTTTGCTAAATGAGTTCTCTAATCTCTATGTGCTTGACAAATGGGCTGAAGATTTCTGAGTTTTTAAGTTAGTTGCTAGCTACAACTATGATCGTTGTCAGTTGAATGGAATATAGAAATATTCTTGTTTGTGGAATCTAGTGGCATCTTAAAAGTGAGTTAACTACAGAAATGACTGCTCTTGATTGGATTCTATTCATTGATCATTGGATAATCATGAAGCATGGCATTGCATTGCTGTGTTGTAATCTCATTTGTCTTATATACCTTTCCTTGTTAGCATTGTTGTGTCGTGCCCAATTTGGCATTTACAGGTAAGTCACATCTCTTCAATATATCCAAGTAATATAAGTCTAAAGTAATGATGCCACCAGTTAATGGTATTTGTATTTGGAGTATTCTATGAGCTAATAAAACACTGTAAGTGGATGAATTTAAGATCGAAAACTCTCACAACAAGCCGGTGAACTGCTACTCCCAATATGTCTTCTCAAGGTGGAGTATTCTATGAGCTAATAAAACACTGTAAGTGGATGAATTTAAGATCGAAAACTCTCACAACAAGCCGGTGAACTGCTACTCCCAATATGTCTTCTCAAGGTCATGTTTAGGATTTTCTAATGCATAAATTGGAATATCAAATATGCCACATGCATCACACGGCGTTGAGCAAGTGAATGATTAGTGAATCATGATAACTATGGAGTAAAAAAATAGCTTTAAATTTGTATTCCTTGAAAATGTTGGTTGTATTTGCAATTTATTTACAAACCTAATTTAGCAGATGTGATGTGCATAAGTTGTTAACCTTTATAAATGAATTAACCAACTCTTGACCTAATGTTTTGCTACTTATGCTACTAATATCACCGCTTGATCTCATTTACAATACAAGGCAAAGCAATTTTCTTTTGCTTTTGAAAGTTTGTGTTATTGTGGAAGCAGATGTTACATTCATATTATGTTGCTATTCAAGTATTTATTTTTAATCTAATAGCTGTGATATTTGTAATTTTCTGCTGGATGTAGGTGGTTCTTGATTTGGATGAAACCCTGGTATGTGCATATGAGACGTCGAGTATGCCAGCTCTTCTACGAACTCAAGCCACTGAAGCTGGGATAAAATGGTTTGAACTGGAATGTGTCTCATCTGACAAGGTAAAGTTCCAGAAGACATCAATTTTTGTAGAAAATTTTAAAGTAGATCTGATGCTTAATATTGCTTTCTAAATATTAATTTTTGAGGGTGGCTTCTAGGAATTTGAAGGCAAGCCAAGAGTCAATTATGTGACAGTGTTTGAACGTCCTGGCCTGAAAGAATTTTTAAAGCAACTCGGGGAATTTGCTGATCTTGTGTTATTTACGGCTGGACTTGAAGGTTCCCATTGCTTGACAATGCATTATTCTTCTTTTATCCTACCTATACGTTATAAGGACTATAGTAACTTGTTGGATTGCCATACATATGTTCTCACAGGCTACGCCAGACCACTTGTGGATAGAATAGATGTTGAAAAGCAATTCAGTAGCAGACTCTATCGGCCTTCTACAATTAGCACGTAAGTTTTCTCTTTTTGTTGTGTGCTGTTAGGAATAGAACACGAACAACAGTGTGTTCCTTGCACCACATCACTCATTGCGTTTCTTTTGAATTTTTAATATCTGGAAGATATCTTCAAGCTTCACTTTCTTGCTTCAACACATGTATCGTTTTTTCTGTATATGCTGTTGCATTTTCATGTGATCAAAGCACTACTAAAAGCCATATTAAGTGTGACATCTGGCCAATATGCATATGTTAGTGTGTTTTTTACGGAAAGATATCAATAAGACCGAAATAACAAGTCTCCCTGTTTGTTGCTTACACTGAATGCTTGATATTGCTAAAGAAACATATGGTTGCCTGAACTTTTGACTTTGGAAGATTGCTTGTTTCAAGACATTGTCCATTTCTTTTTGGATAAATGGGCACTATCCTTGTATAAACTCCCCAATTCGGTTATATTGTATATATGGATTCTAAAATTGTGCGTCGTTTACTGGTTGCAATTTTGGATTTTTAGATGCAAACTTCGTGACAAAATAGCGTTTTTTCGCTTCTTTATAGCTGCAAAATGTTGTGGCTCCCATATGTGCATTGGATTTATAGCGATGGTTTCATGTGCCAACAGTATCTATTTCAATTGAAACTCAATTCATATCTACAGTACAGTAAATCTCATGTCCGTCCAAAATATTTTCACTGTGTTTCATATTACAGTCAGACAAGCAATTGACTTCAGCTGGAGATATTGCCCTGAATATGCAAAAATGTCTACATGGGTTGTTCACATCATTGAATGTATGTTTAGACCTTAGATGGCCATGCTAATGCTTTTCCGGAGGATGGCACAGTCACATTTGGTAGTTAAACATACTATTAGACTATTGGGTGTCGGTTTTGAGATATTCCAAATTAAAACCGGCCACGATAGATGCAAAATAGGGGTTCAGAAGTTTCATGCTGATGACTAAGGTAGAAATTGGTAGTGCAGTAATCTCTAGTTACTAGCAGCATGTCAGTCATCATGTCTCGTTCTGTTACTGTTTTTATCTACAGTTTCGACATCTTTATTTGACGTAGCATTTTGGGGTTCAAATCCGATACAACTCCACTGAGACTTCTAATCTCGTCTGATTATTATTATCAAACAAACATTGAAAACAATATGAAAATAATATTTGGTGGATTCCCAGTTTTATTGCCTGCACCATCTAATTCCGTTATAGTCGGTTTCGTGTACATCGGGTAGAAATTGCTATTGAAATTCCTGTTCAATTGCAGGGAATACCGCGAACATGTGAAGGACTTGTCTTGCGTGTCGAAGGACTTGTGCCGAATAGTCATTGTAGACAACAACCCGTTCAGTTTCTTGCTGCAACCGTTGAATGGAATCCCGTGCATTCCATTTTCGCCCGGACAACCTCACGATGATCAGGTAACAAAAATTTCATACATTCCTCAGGAAATCCTCTGGTTATTATTACCTCTTTTCACAAACTAATTTCCTAATATCAGCTCTTGGAAGTAATCCTCCCGTTGCTGAAGCAGCTCTCGGTGCAAAAGGACGTGCGCCCTGTCCTCTACGAAAGGTTCCGCATGCCCGAATGGTTTCAAAAACACGGAATTCCTTCATCGGGATTGACATAGCACGGAGCTGTTCTTCATGCGAGGTCAGTACCTCTTTCTCTATCTCTTTGCCTGAATTTTTTTGTATAGCATATCGATGCTCTCAAGGAGCATTCATTCGTCGTGAAATTCTAATTATCTCTCTCTCTCTCTCTCTCTCTCTCTCGTATTGTCGGGAAGAATCCCGACAAATGTGATCAAGTTTAAGTTCAGATTGTTTGTTGTGCAAAGGGGTGTTGGTAGAGATATATAATTGGGGAAATGTGGTTTTTCTATGTTCTTTTTCCATGGAAAATGCTGTGTTGGTTGCTACTCTACTTAAGTTGATAGATGCAATTCAGTTCAGTTATTTGCCCCCATTTTTTTGTACATGATCGAAATAGATAGTACATGTTGTGTGTTATATAAAAGTATGTGCGGTATGAATTATATATTGTGCTATATTTATAATCCGTTTATTGTTTTATATGGAATTATATAATATAATGTCAAAATATGTGCTATACTATATTTTGATGTGTAAATTATATATTGTGATGTGCTAAATTATATTACTACTATGGTTATTGCAAATTTCTTATTCTTCATGGTCATTATTATTCTTTTCTTTGGTTTTGATTTAATTTTTTAAAAAAATCAATATTATTGTTTTTAATAAAAATTTATCTATTTTTTTTTATACTAACTATTTACTTATTATTAGTTCATCAAATTTATTCATTTTTTGGTCTGTATGATAATTTTAGTTCTTGACAAAGTTAAAATTTAACATTTGACATTTATTCTCTCAATACTTATTTGTTACTATTGTTATTATTTTTATTACATTTTTTTTCTCATTAATTTTAATTATTAATTAAAATTTCAAAGTTACTATCAATTACCCTTTTACTTCTCTTTCCTAATTAAATATTTATTTTTTCATATGGGGAAGTTCTATTTTTCTATTTTCTTTTTTTTTACAAGATACTAACTCCGTTTGTCAAATTTATTTGTTTATTTATTTATTTTTAATTTTGTCCACTAAATTTATCTGATTATTCATTTTTGGCAACGTCAATAAATCAACATTTAATTATTACATTTCATTTAACACTTATTTACAATAAATATTACCAATTTTATTATATTTTAACTAAATTTTTAAAAATGTCTTTAACTACCTATCAATTTTTTTATAAAACATTTATTTATTTTAATTATTTTTAATGGACAGAGAGAATTATAGTATTATATTTAACAATTATTTTATTATTATTATTTTTTTTAAAAAAAAGGACCAATAGAAGTTAGAACATTGAAAATATAAAGGTTTGTGCTCTTTTAGTATGGAGAATGGAAGTGTTACTACAAATATTTATTTTTGTTGTTTTGTAAAATGTTGTAAGATTAAATAATATATTTTTTGAATCTTACGAAATTCTCTTTTTTTTTTTTTTTATTAATGTATTGTTGTTACAATTTTTAAAATTTATTATTGTAGTTAAAAATATTAGAATTAATTAATTTCATTTTCAAGAAAACTGCCAATAGTCTTTGTATATAAGCGTTGACTCAATTTTTGGCGGTCATTTTCATAAATAATAATTTAATAAATAAATAAAATCGGAAATTGACTTGAGTTGACTCCAATCTCCAACGAGAACGCAAACCCAAGTCCATGCCTATTTATGACAAAACACTTCATAAATTTTCGTGTTTTGTTATTTGTACTTGCTAGTAAATAATAAAATGTGTACCAATGTACACGCAACTACATATATATTTTAAAAAGGCAAAACTATCTATATTTTAGAAACTCGGCACTTTTTCCTCCCATAGTGTTCCTCTGTATTTACAAAAATTTTGCACACTCTTTCATTTTATTATTTCAGTTTCATGGTGTTATATTTTTCATCTTATGGACTATTATACCCTTTAATTAAATAAGTGTGAGATAATTCTTCTCCCTCATAACTCACTCTTCTTGCTTGAGATAAGATTATAGGAGGTTTGATTAAGAAAAAAATAAAAAAATCAAATTATGAAATTATTGAAAATAATTTCTTTTCTCATTTAGAGTGATCTTACCTTGAGAATGTTGGGTAGAGAAATAAATATAGTGTATAGAAAAAAAAAATGAGGTGCAAGAAAGGAAAGAGAGAATTGAGAGGGGGAACATGAGAATTATGTTTGCAGAGGTTGTATGATGAATTTTTATGGGAGAAAATTTTATGTGAGCGAGAGGGTGGAATTTCCGAGTACAATGATTCATAAAATAACTTTTGTAAGCTTGATTAGTTATTCTTTGAGTATTAATCTTTCTGGGTTGATATCCATCACATAGGTCTTCGATCCCCGAACTTGATTGATTAACAATTGTTTTGTGTTTTGATTTTACTACTATTAGAGTATACACACTGTTTGATCTATCTACGAATTATCTGTATGTATCGAGTTTTTGTGGAAACAATTTGATGTTGTTTTTGTGTTCGTGAATATAAACAGGTTGAGACCAATATATTATACAAATATCATTATTTTTATATTGCAATATTTTTATACTTTTCTTTTAATTTATATTATGTACAAATATAATGCTAATATTAAAAAAAACTATAAGTAAAAAGCAAATAGATTTTTAGTTTTGGGACAAATGGAGTAAAATAATACTATTTTGAATTTTTAAATATCTTATACAATTTTAAAATTTTCAATTTTGTTCAAATTTGATAATTCAAATGTTAGATTTGGAATATTTTGATTTTTTTTAGATTGCTTTTTTTTTAAAAAAAAAAATAAATAATAATAATAATAATAATAATTTAAGGTGTGTGGGTTTTACAGCAAATTTTTACCATTCAGATTTTTCTTTTTCCCAAAAACATCACGTTAAACAATTACTTTTCTTTTTCAATATTATACTACAAAATTATTTTACATTCAAAATATCACATCAACGTCTATTTATATCACATCAAACAATTATTCAAATTCACTTTTTTACTGTTAAAAAATACAAACCGAATATTCTACTGCTTACTCCTAATTCTTATATTCATATTCTAATGGTAATAAGATGTTTGACATTTAATCATAATCTAATTATTACAATTCAATTGTTTTTATAGACAATCCTTGCTATGGTCGAGTTGGTATGGTACTTGAATTTATAAACACAAAGTCATGGTTATGATTCAAAACCTCCCTTAACACCTCAGTCAAGTATGTCACACACGTCTTTACTCAATGTCCACTTTGAAGTATTTTAGAAATTCGTAATATACTCCCTCCGTCCTGTATTTATATATTCATTTACTTTTTGCACGGAATTTTAGAAATATTAGTATTATATTGAAATGTAGTAGAAATAAAGATAAAAGGACTAAATTGTTCTCATTAGTATTGTATGATATAAAAGTAATGGATACTTTGTTATGGGACAAACGAAAATGAAAAAAAAGGATAAATTGTTAAGGGACGGAGGGAGTATTATATTGTGTGTTGTGTTATTATGTGCTATCTACTTTGTATATTTGTGCTAATTAAGTCAAATTAGTACAATATTTGACTTACCAATCAACACCTAAACTGGACAATTTAATGACATTTTAGTCTATTATAATATTACCTTCCATCACTCAAACATGAACTTTCCCATTCATGCTCCAAACACCCTTAACATTTCTTAATTTACATAGAGATAAAAAAAAATAAAAAAAATACATTGATAATAGCCGAAGGTAGTATATTTGTATATCTTATAATTACCCCAACAATCTTATTGTACAATCATACTATCTTAAACTCATTTAAAATAATGTATTTTGCTGTAAATAGATACTGTCCTCAAGAATAAAAGTTGAGAATTCATTTTCACAAACTATTAACACATCTCACACAATGAATTATTGATTCATTCAAGATAACAGACCAAAAACTACAAATGGCAAATACCCTAAAGCCATAAATGTAGCTAAAGCAATCCAATCCAAAACCAATTGAGATCTGATACTAAGGTTCGACCGGAAATTTACCCAAATCGCACTCGAAGAGTCACAACTACGGGTTTCCACATCATTTTAAAAAAAGAAAAAAAAGATGTGATACAAAGAATTAAAGCTATGGACCAAAAGCCATTTATCAAACAAATTCAAATCTCATAAGAAGCCTTACATACCTGTACCTCTCACCTTTCCGGCCATACAGTGGAACGGCTCGAATTCCTTGCCTGAGCTCCGATACCGGGAGACATGTTTGGCCAGCAAAGTTGGTTTGCCCTGATGCATCCGATTCCCGGACTTCAATCCGAAGCAGAGCCAGTTCAGGAACTGTCAGCGGGAATACAAACAGATCATCCCATGTCGGGATGAAAGTGTCGTCTATTATCTTAGTTTTCCTCTTCATGGTATCTGCAGGAACTCCCACAATAGCTATCTGTGCACATGCCCGTCTATATGCATTACATATTGAAAAAGAATTGCAAAATGATTTCGACATAATAGCATGTGGTTAATAATTGGCAAGCTCAAATAATGAAATGCATGTCAAATCATTGGGGAGATAGACAAAGCTGAATGACGAAGAAATTTTACCTTTGCATAAAAATCTGGAGGAGAATAGGAGTCGAAGTGTGTGTGAGGGAATTCGTAGTACCATCCTTCTCCCATATATACATTGACCTGTTGGAAAGCATATACTGCTAAAGATTGGAGACAGTGGACAAAACAAGTATGAATAGAAGCCTCGAGAATTGCTAACTCACCCTCAAAGTAGTTTTGACAGGTAAATGAGCTCTTGGATTGAAGATATTGGGGCCGGTGTTTAATAAAAAATCTGGCTTTTTAACATATCCGCAACCACCATTGGCCGTGAACATGCCATGCATCAGTCGAAGTGATTTCCCATAACCCTGTTGCAGTATTGCTCGTTCAATATATTAGTGATAAAAATTCTTTTTGCTATCATTCTTGTACGGGTAAGGTATAAAAGCTAACCAAGACTCGGTTGCAAGAGTTCATGAGGTTTCATAGTATTTAAGAAGCTTTAAAAACTTGATTATCTTTGCAAATATGATCAATGAAACATGTACATGTGTAAAATAATAAGATAAAACAAGATTGCACCATCATTTAGCATCAGTTAGGTAATGATACAACTTATATGATAATTCAAAATAAGTAAAATTATTTATAACCCACACGTGGTTTGAAAAATCCGCACCATTCTACCTCATAATTTGTGCAATGTTTTAAAAAATACAGGGGGTTTTTGGTTTTGAATAATAAAATTTTGAATTGAAATTGTTTGATGTGATATAAATATGGGGTTTTGGTTTTAGATTTTGGTTTTAAATAGTAAAATTTTAAATTGAATTTGTTTGATGTGAAATAAATATATATGATGTGATGTTTTGAATATAAAATTAAATTTTAGTATAATATAATGAAAGAAACTTAGGTGTTTGATTTGACATTTTGGGGTTGATAAAATTTTGGAATAGTAGAACCAAAACCAAAATTTGCAAGTAAACACACCCAAAGGAGTTTCAAATAGTTTCTAAATCACGAGATAGAATGAGGCAGAGTTTCCAAACACGAAAGATTTTGTGCTATGTTTTCAAAAACATAAGGGAGCATGCAATTTCTAGGATATTTTGTGTAATACTTTTTAAAGCATAAGGTAGCTTCATGCGGTTTTTAAATCATACTTTAAAGACTTTTCAATTCACGGGTAGGTTATAAGCAATTTTGCCTTCAAAATAAGCCATGAGCACATTTATATTGAGAAGCTTAAGAAGTAAGAACTCTGTCAGGTGGACCAAATGACAAGAAGACATTGTCACATGCTCATATGCACAACAAATAAAGACGCTGTCTAGAGTCAGCAGCATGTGTTTGTTTCAATTAATTATGTAAAGCTGAGATCGTGGCATATGCCGGCACTAGGAATCAAGTCAATACCAATTATCTCTACACGCACTTTGGAAATTATTTAACAGAATGAAGCTGGATGTGAATAACAAAACAGTTAGGCAAAAATATTTAAGGTTATCCTCAAACAGGGTATATGACAATGACAGTGCCCAAAATCCCGCCTTCTACTATTAGCAAATTGATAACTTAGATGATGCAGAAGCAACAATAATGAAAAACATTTATATTTCATCGAGTATAGGAATGCTCGACCAAAAACAATAAAAACTGTAGACATTATGTCCATGTATAGATTCACTTTGAAATATATCATGCATACAAATGGACAGGTGGATACGGTAGAGCTTGTCTCCATGGACATTTTAATTTTCCTCCACTACTTTCCAAGAAAGCATTGATTGCAGAATTTTAAACCCGTTAAGTGATTGAATGAAAGCACAATTGGAACTAGAGTAGATTAAGGATATGCCAATTAAGAAACAAATGCATGCACACATTATTGGTAAACATCATAATATGATCCAAGCTAACCTGCAGATTTAAAGCAACCATCTGAGCTCCATGCATCCATGCAATCATTGGATTATAATTCGAGGAGTCCAACCGTGCAGCTTTAGGATATACCCTCAATAGGTTTCTCTGAGTGAACCTAGAAAAGAATCATGTGGGATTTTTTATAAAATAAAAAATAAAAAAGGTGCAAAGAAGGGTTTATGTGACAATTGTACAGCTAGTAGGCAGTTGTTTAACATTTTACTTAGCCAGTCTCCCAAGGTTTTTCTAATTTGCAAGCAACATTCGATCAAACAATGAATCAAACTGAAGTAAGCACAGTTTTGCTTTATCTAAGTGCGCCTTTGTTAGACTAAGCCTGTTATTAATGACTAGTTTAGGCTTGTTTTGACCATGCATGTTTATTTGTTATATTATGTAATTTCGTCATTATTAAGTATAAAATAAATTTTGACATGATATCAGAGCTTAGTAGGGTTTAAGTTGTCTTTATCGCTGTTGCCCCTGTCACGGATGATCACTGCCACCCAAAACTAATTGAAGCTGCTTTTCCATCCAACCAATATCAGAATCATAGTCCCCATCTACAGGTGCAGCCATCCACAATCGTAGATCCACAGTCCATAGCTGCATGTCCCACCACAAAAATCTGCTAATTTCTTTGTTCTGGCTGATTCCGGTGTTGTCTTCTATCACATAAAACACTGGCGCGTACTTGCGACACATTGCGTCTGTCAACACTGCCATCTGCTGCTGCTGCCTCCACGAACCTTCTCAGTTGTCACAATGTCTGACTCTTTTAATCCACTCACTTTTCAACCAATTAGTAGCGAAAAGTTATGAGGTCCATTCAGGCATAAATCATGGGCAAAACCAATATCTGTTTAACTCTAGTTCAAGGGTCAAGGCCAAAATGAACGTCCCGCAAAACTGTAATCATTTTGAAACGATATTGTCGGACTTGGTTGGACAATTATATCTTATTATTCAAAAATTTGGGATAATACAATATTTTTCTGATCACACGGGATTCTATAAACATGTACTAGAGGGACTTTGTGTATACTTGGTAGTGTATGTTGACGATATTATCATTTATGGAAATAATATAGATGACATCATACGATTGAAGACCTGCACAAGTACTTTTAGACTAAGAATTTGAAACCACTATGGTATTTCTTAGGGATTGGGATTGCCTAGTCAAAGAATGGTTCTATTCTATCAGAGAGAAAGCACACAATTGATCTGTAGGAAGAAACATGCACGACTTAGTGTAAAGCTGTGGATTCTTCTATAGATCCAAATACAAAGTTACTTCTTGGACATAGCGAGCCCTTAACTGAGCCTAGATGATATAAAAGGCTTATTGAGAAGCTTACTTATTTAACTATCATCTGACCAAATATATCGTTAGTGTGGTGAGTTAGTTCCTTCAATTTCCGTATGACTCCTATTGGAAATCACTTATCCCCATTGCGGTACATTAAAAGGTTTACAGGAAAAGATTTACTATATACAACTCATTGTCACTCTAAAATTGTTGGATATTAAGATGTTGATGACTTGATTGGGCAATAAATTTAATCGATGTGTGTTTTACTCGAGTTATTATGTTTTTGCTTGAGGTAATTTGTTTTATTGGAAGAGGAAGAAACAATATGTGGTTGCACTAACTAGTGGTCAGCTTATCTGTGTTGAATAATTACTTTGAGAACTCAAGTTCTATGATTGTGATGTGATGATCAGACAGTACTGCACATTACCTTAAACCCGGTATCTCATGAACAAACAAAGGATATTGAAGTAGATTGTCACTATATCAAGACGAAAGTGTCATATAAATGTATAGACATTGAATATGTGTCTTCAAATGATCAACTTGCAGACTTATTAACAAAAACCTAGGTTATATATCTGATTTCATATGTAACAAGCTTGAATCGTATGACTAGTACACTCTAACTTAGGGAAAGTTAAATTAGACCCGGTGTTCATGATTAGTTTAGGCCTGTTTTGATTATAAATATTTATTTGAGATATTATGTAATTTTATTACCACAAATAAATATACATCGTCAAAACATGCCTAAACTAATCATAAATAACCTTCCTAATCTAACAAACTCAATAAAAAAAAATAGATAGATGATATACCTTGTGAAGCGACCTTAGCCAACCATTCAGGGGATTAGGTACTTCACAGACTTACACTTTGTAGGGGATGATGAGCCCATGCAGTCTTACTAGCTTAATCTTAGTTAGCATTTGATCTAGGACTGGACAGGTCAGATATAATTAAAGTTTCTAGAGTGTCACTATTGGTCATTTAGGAATATGTAAGATGCTACGACTTGGGATAGGGAAGTTGTAGTTCACCACTCCATTCCTTTTGTTATTAGTCTGTTGCTATCAGTACTCTCTCAATGATAACTTTCCCTCACATCTTTTTTATGAAGAAGTTTCCGATTATTATTTATAGTTAGCGGGCTTGTGTCAGGATTATGATATGTTTCTCCAAGAAGATTAGTCAGCAAGAATACAAAAGATATATTGCAAAACCATACCTAATGATATCTTCTCCATAGTCATTGGTGGCCCTTTCAAATTCTTGCTCACTTAAGCTTAGTCGTCTCACCTTCGAAGGATCAACCCTCAGCCAATCTCTAATTCCTCCTTTCACCTTTCCAGCAGGTATTGAAATCAAATTCATGTACTCAGGTATTATGTGCTGCTGTAACTTTGGATCCTTTTCAATGTCTTCATCAATTTCTATGTCCATTCCATCTGTGCTATCATCCTATTAAGAAACCACAACACTGTGGGCGCTTAAACCTTAAACAAAAATTTAATTGGTACTTTCAGAATGTTGAGTGCTTGATAAATATGCACCTTATTATAGCTAGTTTCTTCTGTCCTCTGAGCTTTGTCTTTGTTTGAGACCCTTCCCTTTCTGCTTTCCATTTCTTTAACTATTTGGGACCCTGACCTTTTGGGCAGCTTGGTTGATACTAAGATTCGTCTCTTCAGTGATTCTGGGCATGGAAATTGTCGCTGGAGATCCAAATCAGTGGTATACAGCATTTCTCCAAATGTTTGAGTGATCATCTACAAGGACATATATGATTTTCATGAGGTTTTTAGGGTGCTTATATGGTGTGTTTGTTTGTGGGTTTGGATTTTGAATTGAGATTTGAATAGTAAAAATTTTGAATTTGAATAGTTGTATAATATAAGAAAATAAAAAATAGGTGTTTGATTTGATTTTTTGGGGGAAAAAAATAGGATGAATAGTGTATTTAAAATCCAATCCCCCAAACAAACACCCTAACTGAAGTTCAGTATCAAACCTAAACAGCATTTCTCCAAATGTAAAGTCAGGTCAAGTAATGTTTAGCTCATGTACTTTCTACATACCTGAGCCACTAGAGCTCGAAGGTCAGCAGTAAGATGGTCTTCAAATGTTAGCACAACAGGGTATTCTGATGCAATAAAGGCATGTTCCTTGATTGACTTCAAACATTTGATAAGTTCCACTGGAGTGGTTAGCGTCCTGCATAAAAGATATTTAACTATGAAGAAAAACCTAGCACCTAAAATTGAGGGTTCAAGATACAAAATGTCAAATAGGACATTGATGATCATTCGGGTACTCATTTAGGACCCAACATCAATGTGCTGGCAAAGCTCAAGTACCATTCTAAGTTGCATTTTTGTGCAAACTTTTTATTCAAATAAATAGAAGCCTTGCTGCTCAAGATTACTACATACTAAATTCATACCTTCCATGTAGAACATCCACATCATCTTTTGCAGAATTTGGCCACAAATCCAACTCAATTACCCTCACACCTCCCCGGAGAGCACGGACGATAGGGATATCACTGCTGTCGCTACTGATTTGATTCCCAGTTAAATAAGTGTTGTGGCTTGTAAATATGAAGTAATTGGAAAGTGGTGCTGTCATATCATGATGAATCTGAAATTAAAATGAAAATTCTATATCAGAAAAGAATGATGTGCTTAAGCTCTCCTCAATTGAGTTTCATCTAGTTAAACACTCTAGAAAAGTGACAATTTTAATTTATACTGTTTCCCTCAAGTACATTCAAGAAAAGCATGATGTGAAGATTCAAACTCTTTTCTTTCACATATATAAAATAAAAATTAAGCAGAACTAAATTTCTTCCATTCTCTTGCCAATTCTTCTTTCCACCACAAAAATGTTGCTATAATTCCAAATAGTTGACTTGTAATTGATATTTCTGAAGTGAAAACCAACACAAACTCCATCAAATGGCAAACAGGTGTTCCTTATCCCGAATTAATCTTTAGATGCCAATCACCATAGTGTATAGGAAAGAAAACTTACACATGAAAGTTAAGCAAATAAACTGCGGACGAATTACCAGTTAAAACTAATAAAGCATGACTTGTGAACAACAAAATATCCAACCAGCATAGTTAGAAACTTTACCTCAGGTTTTGGATCAAGAGGCGGATTACCATCTCCAATCAAGTACCTAAAGAAAGCCTCGAGACTGAGTCCTCTGCGATGGAATATATGCAGATGCTTCAACCCATCCACAATACCCTGCGCACTCTCCACCGTAGCATTCCTCTCCCCCTGCACCTCCACCATAAACCGCCGCAGCTGATCGACACTCATCATCCCGCCCTCCGAGTACTCCTTGAATATATTCTTAATGTCAGCGGGTGCGTCCGCCGCGGCGAGGCGGAACCGCCGCCGGAAACAGAAACAAACTCTGTACGTCTGCCTGGACATGTAACGGAATCGACGACAGCCAATGCCACCATCATCACTTCGATCGACAAATCAAAAACAACAATATTCCCCGAAGGAATCGACAGCAGATGCGATCGGAATCCCATTCTCTCTCCAAGGAAGAATCATCGCACAATCGAAGCTGTAAAGCTGAAGGAATCGAAGCCATTAGCGATACTTAGCGTGCAAAGGCAATGAAAAACGCATAATTAATCACTCAATAATAATAATAATTCATAACAATATTCCGTAAACTTTTCTTTATTGCCGTATCACTCCCCGTATATATTATTTTTATCATAAAGCCCCCCAAAAGTAACTTCAAACAGCATCTTGCCCCTTTTATTTACAAATAATTTATTCTAATTGTAGCATTCATTTCAAAAATATATATACTAAAACGGTTTTTTCACTTTATTATTATTATTATTATTATTATTATTATTAATTTTTAGTTTTTTATATTTAATAAAAAATTTTACTAAACATGATATTTGTATAAAAATATATATATATTATACTTGTATAAAAATTGTGCGATTATGAAAAATCAAATATGTTTGATCCATTCAAAATTGGGTAAAAATTATAGAGATTTAACGTGAATTTGAGTAAGGATCGAGTCCCATAAAGGATAGTTTGCCCGTGGAATGGCAATAGATAGGGTATGATGGGTCGGGTATAGATGGTCCCAAGATCCAACACATATGTATATTTTGGACCCAAGACCCTCTAATTACCCGAACCCTATCCGTGATGTACCCGTCAAATTCAAAAAATTTCAACACAAGTTTGACTCCATTTGATTTATCTAAAAAAATATTTATTTATTTCAAAAAAATAAATTAAAAATATATATAGGACAAATATAAATCTTCACTCATACTGTCTTGATGCCACCACAAACAGTAATAATAATAAAATTTATTATTTAATTTATCGGGTTCGGGTCTGGGTCGGGTAGGGTTGGGTCTACAAGTAAACCATAAACCCTACCCGACCCTCAAAAAATTATTAAAGACCCGATTCATATCCGATTCAATACTCAAATAATTGGACCGACTCCAAATAAATGGGTAGGGTTCGGGTCCGGGTCTCGGGTCTATCCCTACCCATTGTCATCTCTGTATGATGGTGTGGAGATGAATTCGTGACCGTAAAGTCATGGATTCAAACTTCAACGTTTTTTAGTCTTGTATGTTACATATGGTTCACTTAAAAACCCCAGAGTTTGAGATATTACCACAAATTTAGAAGGAAATCAATCTAATTTGTTATGAATAGATGGATATAAATTGAAAATAAATTTCTTTCAATTCCATGCTATGTAATTTCATATTTCACTTTCTTAAATTTATTTTGCACTAAATTTCTATATTTTGCTTTGTTTTTCTTCAATTATTGTATTCATTTTTTTATGTCTAGCATTCTGTTTTTTTTTTTTTTTTGTCTTCCAATTTATTTATTTATTTTCTTCATTTTCACACATTTTATTTTTAAAATACAAGTTTCGATCTGGATATTTTCTTAAATGAGCCGGAGAATCCACTATGATCAAAGGATGACTTAAAGCTTAAGCTTGAGAGATTCGCGATATATCAAAAGACATCAACTAAGAGATAAGATAAAATATGGATGATTTATTATTATTTTTTTTTCCATAATTCACAATCTAACCATATTAAGTTATTTCGAGTGCAAAAAATTTGGGAGAAAAAAAAAGTGAAAAACTCAATACAATGATAAACTTATTGTTCATCGGAGTTTTTGCACGTGATTGCGCTTCTTGACTATAGTTTTTCATTATTCCTACCAATTTTTTGTTAAATTCGATTTATTTATACTAGGAAGGACAGATATTGAATATTATTATATTGCTTGCATTTAAGTATAGTCATGTCTAGAAAAAATTGATTTGAATAAGTCAAGACTTCAGGGATACAATTATAATTTTGCACAAAAAAAAAAATTTTTAAAAAAAAAAAAAATGAAAAAAATAAAAATAAAAAAATTATTGGATCCTCTTAGGGCTGCACCGCTGGTACATAAAAAAGGGCGCAATAAATTTTATTTTTTTTTAAAAAAAAAAATGATCTTTGAGAAAAAAAAAAAATGCGCAGATGGCAGAAAAACAATCGAGAACGGCTAAATTTTTTTCTTAGTATAAGGTTGGATTGAATTTTCGGATGATGAATTTGTGAGATAATTTTGAAATTTAATTGAATCTTTTAATTAATTGGTGTTTGTGTAATTTCTATTTATCTTGTTTAGATATAATTTATTAATGTAGCTAAATTTTAAGTCTATCAATTGATTGTATGCTAATTTAATAAATACATTCGTAATTGTGTATTTATTCGATAAAATAGTATAGTAGTAAATAGATTAGCGAGCTTAGTCTAGAATTGCATGATCGAATGTGAAATTTTTTGTAATTGATTAAATATTCTAATTTAGTTTTTCTCATGCTATTTTCAATTGGAAAACTTTTAGTACGGTCGTGTTTAATTCTTTCGATTAAGGTATGATCAATTGGTCTTCTCACAACAAGATTAGAAAAAAAATGGGGTTTGATCATATGGAATGTCCATAACTAATTTATCAATTAGTTGATTGAATTATTTAATTCAACGATTAAATTAATTACCTCATCTACTTTTTACTTTTATTAATTTTTTAATAAAATATTAATTCTTTTTTAATTTTTGTGTCGAATCCAAATGTTCTAATTTTACTGGACCGGAGAAGTATACATAGATGTGTATGAATTATGTTGTATAATATTATTTTATCTAATTTAAAAAATTAATTATAAAATCTGCCATAATAATACATTATTTTTAATAACAATAACAAATTTAAATTGTTTAATAACTATTTTAATTTTTTTTAAATATATATTTATCAATATATAATACTATGTAAAACAGAAAAGAATGTGTGTATGTTTGGGGATTTGGATTTTGAGTTGGGATTTGAATAATAAAAATTTTGAATTTGAATAGTTGTATGATGTGATATAAATAGATACTGATGTGATGTTTTAAATGTAAAATTGATTTTTAGTATAATATAAAAAAATTGAAAAATAGGTGTTTGATTTGATGTTTTTGGGAGGAAAAAATTGGATAAATAACTTAAATAGGTGTTTGATTTGATGTTTTTGTCTAGTAAAATCGGTTTGGTTACCGTGCTTATAGAAAAATTGCACATTATTGAGATAATATATAATAGATATTTTGATATTACATTATATAATTGTACGTAATACAATATATTCTGATTTCAGTACAATATTATTACTATAAGTATATTACCAGGACAACACAATATAACTCACAACAAATATTAATACAATAACATAATTCATTATTTAATTTTATATAACACAATATATGTTGATTTCAGCATAATATAGAACCACACAACATATGTTCCGGAGATAGTAATATTTTAATATTGAATTGGAATAAATAAAAAATAACACAAGAATATTATAGAAAATTTATTAAAAAATTAAAAAATAATAATAAATACAAAAAATAATAACAAATTAATTATTATTATTTGTTAAAATAAGTAATAATATTATTTATTATAAATAAATTATATATAAATTTAGCGGATAAAAATAAATTTGGTATACGAAGGGAGGGAGGAAGTAATAAAATGTATTCTCAAACAACATATGCCAAAATCCATCTAGTTTTAAATCAATTAATTAATTAATTGATTAATTTCACCAAATGTACAAACCAAAAACACACGTACCTTGAACTGTGCATGGATCAATGGCCTCCCCCTGCCCTTACCTTAAAGTTAAAGAAGCAACAACCATAACACATATATTTACACATACATATACATGCGGGTGTGTGTGTGTGAAGAAACCATATTTCATACAAACTGAAACCTCATAAGAAGCCTCACAGACTTGAACTTCCTGCCCTTCTTGTCGTACAGCGGCACCGATCGAATCCCCGGTCTCAACTCCGACACCAGAAGGCATGTCTGCCCTCCGAAATCATCCTTCTCCGACAGGTCATACTCCCGAACCTCTATTCGTAGCAGAGCTAGCTGAGGAACTCTTAACGGGAATGAAAACTCGTGGTCCCAATGAGGTATCCACTCGTCTTCTATTACTCGCGTCTTCCCCTTCCCTTCATCGAGTGGCAATCCGAATATGTATAGCTACAACCTCAAAATTTATCCATCATAGATAGTTGTTAGGTTAAGTTTTGCATCGAGAATGAAATCCACAATACAACAATATATACAGAGAAATGGAATTTACTGTTCGGTAAAACAAAGAATTCAATTCAGTTGAAAAATGTAAAAAATTACAACGATCAAAAATGCTACTAACATGTATATTAAGTATAGTGCTGACAACATAGCCGATCAGCATATAACAAAAGAAACAGGATGCACCACACAACACATATCACCATTGATCTCAACGTAGATTATATCTCAACACAACACAAACAACTATGTGTTATATGTATATACTCCCTCTGTCCCAAATCAAATGTATCATTTGGAATTTTTTAGTAAATTAAGAAATAATAATATTTTATTAGTTAGCAGAATGGGTAAGAATTGACATTTTTGCTTTTTAACTTTATATATAAAGTAATTGTGTGTGTAATAATATGTTTATAATTTAAGTAAAAGTTAAAGAGTATTTCAGTATTAGTGTATGATTACTTTTTCTAAAATATGAAAGGAATACTTTGAAGTGAGACAGACGAAAATAATAAAAAAAGTACTTTGAATTGATATAAAAAGTATTTTGGAAAAAAAATATTTTGGTATTAGTGTATGATTACTTTTTGTCCCTTGACTTTATGTATAAGGTAATTGTATGTGTAATGGTATGTTTGAGATTTAAATAAAAGTTAAGGTATTTTCTTATTAGTGTATAATTATTTTTTTTAAAATGATAAAAAGAGTACTTTGAATTAGAACGGAAAGAGTATATCGTTGCATAACCAATCCCTATGAATAGATATATAGAAGGAGCAGGATTCAATCTAAGTTCTCACTAACCTTTGTGTAGAAATCGGGTGGCGAATGTTTATCAAAGTGAGTATGGCTGAAATCCAAACGCCAACCGTTGCCCATGTACACAGTTACCTGTCGAAATTAGGACTCATTTGTAACTTTGATCATAAGATAAAGGAGAGGTTTCGCTTCCCGGCTTATTTTATATTTAGTCACCTTTAACGTCGTCCTCACTGGCCATGGCAATTTGGGATCGAAGACATCGCCACTAGCATCTTTTTCCATGAGCACAGCTGGTTTTTTTGCATAACCACAGCCTCCATTCGACCTAAACAGGCCCTGCATCATCCAGAGAGATTTTCCGTATCCCTGTTGGAGAAACGACAGCAATAACCACATCCCTTCACACATACTAAATACGAAACAATGTATTGAACATGAACATAGCCAAGAAACCTGCATATTAAAGGCAACCATTTGAGCTCCATGTATCCAACCAGTAGTAGGCCTAAAATTCGATGATGTTACACGAGTTCCCTTGGGAAATATCCGCAATATGTTCTTTTGAGTGAACCTACAAAGTAGCAAAAAGCCGAATTAACTATTTGTTTGATATTCATGAACTAAATTATGGGATTATTAGTCATATCCTATTGAATAGGATAAAGTGATCCATCAAAGTATTTCCTAGTACTTCTACTTCCATTGATTGCACTACACACGGCCCTAAGGGGATGTTTTTTCAGGTGATTTACGACATACACATAATCGAGTTCATCTAAAGTAAAAACTCTCCAAGAATTTAAGTGCGAGGATTACCTCACTAATTGCACAGGATGTAATGCCGCGGCTTTTACAAGCTCATCTTCGGATAAGCTAAGTCGACTAGCTTTTTTATGTTCAATTTTCAGGACGTGCCTCAATCGCTTTTTTTTGGCATTTCCGGCATGAATCGCTATCAGGCGTTTATATTCTGGTGCAGAGCCAGACTTCAGCTGCACACCATCGCTAGACGATGATTCCTCATCGCTGTCACTCTGATTTACGATGTTTGTCAGTGAACATACAATTAAACAGAGATGCAAACAAAAAATCCATATTGCTGATTTATGACTACCTTGTCATCAGCTTCAGTCTCGTCGCCAGAGTCCTCTTTTAGTATTGGTAAAGATATGTCTAAATCCTTCCCACTGCTGCCTCCAAGGTACTCCTTGGGTGGTTTCGTTGAGAATATAATTTTGTGCTGTAATGCTTCGGGTGATGGGAATTCCTGCAAGTCTCCCGACTCTGGGAAAAACAGCGTATCTCCGAAGACTTGTATAGCCATCTAGAAACAGATTGAGTTTGTGACTACATTAAATAATGGATAAGTATCAATTAAGAACATAGTTGGTGAAGGTTATGGAGGCCTACCTCTGCTACTTTAGCCTGAAGATCGGCCGTCAGGTGATCCTCTAATGTTATTATCACTGGATAGGGAGACTTAACGAAAGCGTGCTCTTTGATAGATTTGAAGCATTTGATGAGCGAAACTGGCGTTGTTAGAGTCCTGCAAGGTGCTTAAAATGTTTAGCTTTGATAAGAAACAAAAGTTGAAATTGCTAAGCATAAATTCATTCTTATTTAGCCTTCGACAATTTGTGGAGCTGCAAAAGCATGTCTATCCTCTTGAATGATTGAAATTGTTTGGAATGTATATGGAAGAACACTCATAGAAGGTTTTGTCATACCTTCCATGAAGAACATGTATGTTATCTTTCGAAGAATTTGGCCACAAATCGAGTTCTATTCCTCGAACGCCATTCTCCAGAGCTCGGATTATCGGGATTTCACTACAGTCACTGCTTATTTGATTCCCCGTCAAGTAGGAATTGTGACCTGTATATATGTAATAATGTTGCAACGGAGCAGTCATATCATGGTGTACCTGGAAATTATGCAAATCTTCAATGTAAATGATGAAAATGTTTCCACTTAAAACATTCATTTGTCAAGAACAACAACCTACAAACTCTTTTCCTTTTGTAATGTATCATCATCAAGCAAGAACAAATTTGACTTACTGTAATTCATAAACAGAATTGAACAAAATCAACATTGTTTGAAGCCTTTGTAGCTGTATGATGATCTTATTATACATCAATTACAATTGACAAGTGGTTGCAATCGATCATATGGTTCAATTAGGGCACAGAATAGGAATCAATGAAACAGAGAAAGCAAGCACAAATAATATGAAATTGTTCTTCAGTTCAGAGATTAGGGAAAAGGGGAAAAGGAAAGAGCGAGACCTGAGAATTAATCGGTCCATTGAGATCATCCTGAAACAGGAAATGGAAGAAGTCGTCGAGGTTGAACCCTAACTGGCGGTCAGGGGAGTGGTGGCGCTGCTTGAACACCTGGTGCATTATCGCCTCCGCGTCGTCGACGGTGCGCCACTTCTCCTGCTGGTACTCCACCAGAAACTTCAGCAACTGATCCACCGTCATGTGGATCCCCCCCTCCGCGTACCGTGAGAATGCCTCCTTCACGTCCGGCGGCGGCTCCGGCTCGCTGACCTTGAACTTCCGATTGAAGCACCCGAACATTTTGTAATAATTGTAACTGGTACCCATTATCACGCCGCGAGATCCTCCGGTTGAATTGAGCCGATTTCCGATCTTTTCGCCGCTCCGATTCTCGATCATAACCCCGACGTTGATCCCGTATCGGGAATTAACTTCATTCGCATCATCACAACACAGAAAACGGAGAAAACAACAGGAAAACGAAGAAAAAACAGAAATTGGGAATCGATCGCTGGCGGAAGAAGAATGCAGATGGATTAGCCGGTGGAATCAAAGATTGAGGTAAATTAAAGGCGTGGGACGGTTTCGTTAGTTAATCCGCCATGCGAAGGAAAGAAACATTGCATTCCCATTAACGTCCTGCTTTTCATGATTTCAACGATGGTTTTGGAAGCTCTTCTCATCAAATCATCAATCGACACGTGCGAACGGTGTCGCAATTGATTATTATCATTATAATAATATCCTTTTTAATTTCGTTTATTTGTTTGCCTGTTTGTATAATTCGTGTTTTTTTTTAAAAAAAAAAAAAAAATTAAATTAAATCAAAACACTAAACAAATAAACTTTCAATATTTCAATTGTCTTTTAAAAATATATTTAGTTTGTTTGATGATTAAACAGTGATAATTATAATTTAAAATCGTAATCAAACAAACTTACTGCATTTTCAATTATTTTTATTTAGTTTTCTAATTACTTTTTAAACGTTTTGGTTTATTTTGTGATTTGAAATTAAAATTAATATTATTTATTTTGTATCGTTTTAAACAAACATATGCTATTTTTTTTTAAAAAATATTATATTAAAATATTGTTTAAACAAAATTCTAAATCAATATTTTATATTAAATCAATTTAATATTTTAACTAAATTATTTTTATTGAAATCCTATATAAGTCAAACAGATGGGGTGTGGTCATCTAATATATTTTTAAACATCATTCTTAATTAATATTTTTTTATAACAAAGCAGCAACGCATATTCAATAGTATGTAATAATACTTTATTCGACCATTTTTTTTTTTTTTTTCTAGATTAAAAAATAATAATATTATATTGATTAATAGAGTGTCTAATATGATTTGACATTTTTGTTCTTACAAAATATAAATAAAGTAATGATAATTTTGTAAAGTACGAGTACTTTGGTATTTATATATAAATTATTTTTTCTATATTAAAAATTAAATACTTTTGAGTATGACAAAAAAAATAATAAAAATGATACTTTAAATTAAAAAGAATGAAGTATAATTTCACATATCACAATATATGATTAATTTCATACAATATATACTTCTATATATTACAACATCACTTTCAATCTCTATTCTATACGACTAAGTCAAATTAGATTTGACCCAATAAGCACTCTATCTACCATCTATAAAATATATTTCTCCGTCCCGCACCAAAGTATATATTGATATTTTGTAATAAATTTAAAAATAATATTTTTTTCGTTTTAATTCAAAATACTTTTTTATCATTTTTGTTTGTCTCATTTCAAATTACATATTTTCAACTTTAAAAAAAATATAATTATACATTAATACCAAAATACCTTTAATTTTTACTTATATAGAAATATTGACACATACAATTACTTTATACAAAAGTCAAATGACAAAAATATCAAAATCTCTTACAAACTTTCACTAACCAATAAAATACTATTATTTTCTAATCTACTACAAAACCTCAAAGAGTCTCTTTCAAAAAGGATAGAGGGAGTAATATTTTATTAGTAAATGAAAATATATAAAATAATTTTGGCGTTTTTGTCATTTGTCCTTTATGTGTATATATATAATAGTATATATAATTTATGTAAAAAGTTAAAATATATTAGGACTGTTTGAATTGACTTAAAAAATAAATAGAAGTCAAAAGCGATCGATTTTTTTGTTTGTGATAGCCATAAATCGCATGCATTTAATATTCATATTATTTGCGATATTTGATTTATTTTGATTAGATTTTACCTGATTTGGGTGTATATTATTTATTTATGATTTGCAAAAAAAAAAATAATAAAATTGATAGAATTAGAGGAAAAAAAGAAAAAAAAAAAACTCAAAGCCCTAATTGTTACAAAATTAGGACAAATACAAAGGAGGAGAACACAGAACAATCCCAGGGAAAAACCGTGCAAAGGCAATAAGGAGAAAGATTACTCCAAGAAGATTTCGAGCTCTAACTCTACCAATATCATTCTCAAGCGATGTTTATATTTATTCTTTGTTCTTGCTCCTATAATTAACTAGTAGTTTACTTTTTCTAGTTTAGAAGTGAAAAACAACTTGGTATGAATTTGGAAGATTAGACTTCTTTTGATTTATAATATTTATTTGGTTCCTAAGTATTTTCTGAAGTTTCTGATTTTTATTTATTTATAATATTTTATTTGATTGGGTATCGTGGCCAGGTGTTTCAATTGAATTAATGATTAATTGTTAAACTAAATTAGGCGTCAGTAATTGAGTTTAATTTGGTTCAAGTAGCAACTAGCGGCATACATCATTGGAATATCATGGAATCAATTGTAAATAATTTTGCATAGGTAATTGTTAATTAAATTAAGCTATTCTAGTTCGCAAGACGGTTAGCCTAGTAAATTATTTGTGGCGTCATTAAGGTTTTAGTGTAACTAGGGAACCAGTTGACAGAACGTACCTAGACTGCCGTAAAATTAAGAAAAAGTTGGTTATTAGGCGAGTGTCGGTAACTATAACTAATTTATTTAGAAATCAATAAAATTATATATTTATCGATGATCAAAATCAAATTCATCATTTTTTATTTAAAAAAAATATATATCCTGAATAAAGAAAGAATTCTGAGGAAATAGATTTAGTTTTATTTATTTGATATAACTTCTTGTAATTGGTAACTTTAAAAAAATTAACAATCAAATAGTAAAATTCGAAGGAAGGCTCGAACTTTATTTTTATAATTTGAATATTTGATTATCTTCTAGTTACGAAAGTAAATACAAGAAAATTTAAAATACAAAAAGAAATGTAAAATAGTGATCTCCAAACAATTTTTTTTTTTTTTTTAAAAAAAAGAAAATTATATACAATTGAAAACTCTCAATTTGTCATTGAATAGGATACTTATAGGCGTTCATTTGAATGGATAGAATTGGTTTGCAATCGATTAACAAATTGCTTCTGAAACCGTCTGCTTAATTTGAACCGAAATAGGTCCAATTGGTCTTTTTTCCTACCCGATCTTAAAAACATCAAGTTTCCACTTGCGCCACATTAAATCGGGTTCGGCCGTAATATAGTGTAAATTATAAGGGTATTTATTACGTTAGGTAAGTAGTATTATGCAATGATTCAACTAAATCAATAAAATATTAATTAACCCAGTACATCGAACATATTTGAACTCAAAATTCAAACTAGATCTTCCCAATCCAAACCAAAAAAAAAAAAAAACACACCGATGAATTTTTACGAAATTAAGGAAAACGCAATTGAATTTACATGGCAATCATTATAATAGAGAATCAATCTGGAAACCATTGAGCAGTTGTTGAGGAAGCAGAAACCTCACCTCATAAGTTCAGTCCCATTGAATTTCTCTATGGAAGGTCCATTCCGATGGATTAATGGTTGTTTTCCGGTCCGCCGCCACCAGATCGTACGGCGAGTCCTCTGAGAACTCCGTCGCCATCGATTTCCAGTGCAGTTTTGGCTCCCAATCCGCTTCCTTCAGCACCTTCAGTATTTCCTCCACCACCACTTTACTCCCCTCCGCGGCCAAGTGAACGCCGTCGCTGAAACACCAATAATATATAAAGTTCATGAAATATGTCGCGTGAATTTCCTGTTCTTGATGATCATCGATCATCTAAAAGTTTTTTTTGAGGTACTCACGTGAAACATGTGTTAGCCCAATCGTCGCGTTTCTGGATTGCGCTGTATAGATCGATCACTTTGATGTCCATCTCATGGCAGAGGTTAATGCAAGCTTCCGAGTATATGCGACACAGCTCGTTTGTACGAACCAGTTCGCTGAAATACGCGCTGGATAGGGAAATAACAGAGTTAAAGCATTTATATGAATACGGATTTTTGTAGTTGTTGGTTACGTCATTTTGTCCGGGCGTACCTCGTGTTTGCCTGAACTTTAGCCTCGTTGACAGGAGGGCAGCTGAGAAATATTATCCGGGTTTGATCTGAGAGGTTCTGGAATTAAATCGAGTTAAGCGATGAAGAAACACTTTGCCATTGCGAAAGACTAATCGAAAACCTCTGTATTGATGTATAGATTCTATCTTTTTGTGCGTACCTTGAGATGTGTCGCGATTTTTCTCATGTTCTCGACGAACTCGGGGAGAGGAACGTGAGGGCCAAGTCCCGACGAGTGGGCTCCCATGGAATCATTGCCACCGAAATACACGATTACGAGAGAAGGCTGAATTGCAGCATCCTGCAACAACAAATCATTCAGCACCACAACCATAATCATTCGTAAACAAATGATTCAAAAACGACGATGCAACTTGCGAACTTGATCGAACATATCGCGATAGTTGATTCTACTAGCTATCGCCAACATCTACCATTGAATCAGTTCATTCATTTTGTAAATGATTCAAAAACAACGATTCAGCTTGCGAAAATCTTTGTAATCGAACATCCCCATGGCGAACGAACAAACAAATGCATATATGAGATAAATTGCTATCCAAACCACAAGACTATGTTAAGGAATCCATAGTAATGTAATGATCGAATCTACTAGCTGTCGTGTTTGTTACCTTCGGAAAAACTTTGTCGAGGATTTCGATAGCTCTTCTCGAGTTCCAACCGTAGTAACCTCGTGTAACTATGTCAGCCTATGCCAAAAATGGCGAAGAACCAAACAGAGAGACAAGTTAAGGACAGAAACCACAACAATGGAGGACAAACATTGTTAACATTCCATGGCAATCATAATAATCAAGATGCACATACAGATATACCAAGCCATTACCAATCTCAGGCACCAACAATGCACAGCCAACAAATTTCTGTAACTAACAATCCATGGAATTTCGAATCGAAATCGAGCATTCGGATGAATTTTATAGGACTATCAACATAATTTTTGCTAGAAATCAGCAGTCAACCGAGCAATAACAGTGATGGAATGGAACCCTAATTTCGAGGTTAGGAACGAAAATGATTGTACGGAAAGAGCAATGGGGACGATTCGAAGTTCAAACCATACCTTGCGAGCGAAGATATCGGCGAGGATTGCGCCCCATCCGCCATTGCTGAAGCTCAGCTGAACTATCGACGATCCGAACAACACGAACAATGGCCTCTGCGGACCTACCATTGTCGCCTCTCGGAATTTTTTCTGTTTTCCCCAAATTAAGCGTCTCCGAAAATCCCTAACTCCGACGACGATTGCCTCTGCGTAGCTCGTTGGGCGATACGAACGAATAATGCGCGCGTTCCCGCTGTATTGATTTCGCTTTCAATTAAACGCCACAAATTAGGGTGAAGAATCTTAAATGCGTTTCGATCTGCCGGCGATTGAAAAGGAGTGAGAGATGGAACCGTTGGTCCGAATTTTGGGGTCACATGTGTATAATGTTAATGCACTGAGCCAGCCATGGAATGGATTTTGTGCTTTGTTTCATCTTCTCGGCGCTGGCGTTGCTGCAGGCGAGGAGCGCCGTACATTGGTGGTGATTTTTGGGAGTCCTCAGGGATCACATCATTAGAAAGATCTGAGCCGTATATGACATGGAGTGCATAAATTGAACGGTGGAGATTGACTTGGTTTTGGAGTCCCGGGGGTTTGTAATGTTGGTTTCGTCCCGGACGCCATTAATGGGGACAGTTGGAGTAATTGTAATAATGCTATTCCCAACTAACTCTCTGAATTTAACCACCCACCCCATCCCCCCCAACCTCTACCCCGCAAAAAAAAAAAAAAAAAAAAAAACGTGATAATCTACTTCAATAAAATTTATATCTTAAAATAACATCAACAACATTAACAATAATAATAATAATAATAATAATAGTAACAACAACGTGATTTATATCACATGTTATATTAGCGCATCTTATATTCATCTTCCATACTATATTTATATCATTATTTTTTTAATTTTTATTATAATAATACTCGTTATTTTTAATAAAAAATACAGTTATTATATACTTATTACTCTTTTATAAGAATTCGTTACTTTAAAAAAAATAATTAAAACTTAATTAATTAATTGTTACTCAAAATTTTAAAATTTTAAAATTAATCAATAATTAATCTATATAATATAATTTAAATTTATTTTAAAATATTATATTTATCTACATATTTTTCAATAATTTAGTTTTATCTAATTTTATATATCAAATTTCAAATTTTAGATTTTCTTTTAAAAGAAATTTATATACAATTTTGATGAGATGACCAATGAATACATAAAACTTTTCAACTTGTTTTTGAACCAAAATTGTCGGGAAAAAAAAAAAAAGGAAAAAAAAGGTGATGCATCAATTCAAGTTTCTTTTAATAATTTAATTTTCAAATGACACTAATATCGCAAATTCGAATAATTAAATAATTTAAAATTATTATAAAATTACTCTCTCTCTCCTGGCTATTATATCCGTTTATTGTAGATACGAAAATTTAAGAGTGATATAATTAGTAAATAATTGATAATATATTAGCAAAAAAAATTTATCGTATAATAAAAATAATCATAAATTAAAATTAAATAATTGATTAGTCTAATAAGTTTAAAATGTATAATTCTTTTTTTAAAAAAAAATAAAGTGACAAAATAAATGAACATACGAAAATGAAAATGTGGAGATGATAAGTGGGGCGGAGGGAGTACTATATAATATTATCACAATTTATATTGATATCTTAGAATTATAGTATAAAATATTAATAATAAATTTTATTTATATATTATACTCCCTCCGTCCCCTCTAAGGTTACATTTACATTGTGTGTCATTGTCCTTGACATTAAAATTATCTTTATATTTGTATATTTTTTTTACAAATATTTTTCTATTAGTATTATAAGATAATAATTAAAGTATTTTTTATAATTATTTCTTAATTTGTACTATGTTTTGATATAATAATTAATATTTAAAAAGTAACACATAAAAAAATAAATCGGCCTAAAGAAACACATCCTTAATTTTTGCGGAATGAGAGAGTACATTGTTTTAATAATATAATTGTGAAACCTATTAAAAGAATAATGAACATACTCTATTATTAAGTGTATATTGTTGGCTGTAAAATTAGATAAGAAGTTTAAAATTTTGGATGCTTTGCCATAGAAAATAAAATTACAATTTAGCAACAGAAAATTTCATACAGAAGAATATTAGGTTAAACTATTTGAAAAAAATAAATGATTGATAAAAATGAGATGGAAAAAATCAATTTTGGTCACAATATAATCAAAATTAGTCAATTTTGGTCACAATATAAAAAATTCATCAATTTTGGTCCCAATGTAACCAAAATTTATCAATTTTGGACCGAAACAGAAAGATACACAGCCGTGTAGAATTATACATGGCCGTGTAACAACATGGTCATGTACAATTATACACTGAAATATATATGATCATGTAACAACATGGCCGTGTGCATGTATAATTATACACTGAAATATACATGACCATGTAACAACATGGCCGTGTAACAACATGGCCATGTATAATTTATACACTGAAATATACATGGTCATGTAACAACATGGCCGTGTATAATTGTACATGGCCGTGTACTTTCCAGGTCAACTGCCACGTCACATCCGTCATGTCCACGTCAGCAATTTCCGTTAGTTTTTTAACGGTGGTACCAAAATTGAAAAAAATTGTTTATAATGAGACCAAAATTGATTGAAATTGTTTATATTGGGACCAAAATTGATGAGTTTTTTTTTATATTATGACCAAAATTGATGAATTTTTTATATTTGGACCAAAATTGATTAATTTTGATTATATTGAGACCAAAATTAATTTTTTCCCAAAATGAGATGATCAATTGAATAAAAGATGTTTCAACAAAATAAATATTTATATATTTAATTAATGATTTTTTATTTATTTTATTTAATTTTGGTTTTGATTTTATTATTTAAATGAAATGTACTATAAAAAAATAGTTAGATTTTATAAGAAAATAGTAAAATATAAAAAAATTAAAATTAAAATGAATAAAATTTCAAATTTCAATTATTTGTATTTCTCTGTGTATAACAAAAAAATAAAAAAAAATAAAAAAAAGAAAATGATTTCAATATATATATAATCTTACTTTCTTGGTAAATATGGATGGACGTTCAGTTCTATTATTATTATTATTTTGAAGGGAGCTGCTAAATGGACACATGACATAATATTTATTAATTATATATTAATATAGTAAAAGATTATTTAATCTCTATTAATTTATATCTCTCTGTATATTAAATGTAACGATTTATTATTTATTTATTTTTATACAAATAAAGTCTTTTAAATATATACATTATTTTCTCATTAAAAATAGTATTTATATATTTCTTTGTTTAATAATGTATTTTATTTTTTTGAGTAGCAAATAACAATTATTTTGTAGTTTTATTTCTTCTATTTAGACTAACACTTTCTTCTTCAATTTGAACATATCAATATGTATATCAATATAGCAAATGTTATATACAATTTATTTGGTAATGATTAGAAAAAAAAAAAATTATTAGTATGGAAATTCCCAAGTGGATGACATCGTAAATGAATGGTATTCAAGCGCAAACTCTTGTTGATCTAAAATACAAATTGATGTTGAGTTAGTTAATAAATTTATTGATTTTTTTTTTTTTTAATTCTCAAGATAAAAGATTTTTTTGAATATTTTTTCTCACATACACAGTTTTCTTCTTATTTTATTTTTCTTGCTGTAAATTTTTGTAATTTTCTGCAGATTTTTATGTGTTTATTTTGAATTTATTGTTTATATTATAGTTGTTTATATATTATCTAATGAATTTATATTATCTGACAATATATTATTAATTAAAAATAAAAAGATTGTTTTTTTTAGATGAAAATGAAAATTAATTATTTAATGTTACTAATATTTATATTATTAGATATTAGGAAAGAAAGATAGTTAGGATTTTTTTGGAGGGTTGTTGGTGAAAATACGGTATAAAAGAAAAGGAAATATGAATAAATTTAGAGATGTCTAAAAAATGATGTTGAAAAAAACAAGAAAAAATACATATATAAATATTAAATTAAAATGAATAAAAACATAAAAAAATAAAAATGAAAAAACCCATCATATAAATTTTCTCAAAAAATAGTTAAACACAAGTTTTGCTTTGAATTGAGATGTAAAAGAAAAATTAAATGGATAAATTATATAACAATGCTTTGTATTTTATTAAAAATATACAAAATATTTTATATTTTATTTATTGCGTAAAATCCCTTTATTTGGTTCTAAACAAAGACTTAAATTACACAAATTTTTTTTTAAAAAAAATATATATAATATTTTCAATAAATAAATAAATAAATAATTGATCATGTAATTTCATAATTTTTGTAAAAATCATATAACAATTTATCTTTCCAAAATAAAATAATGTTTTTCACTTATACCTTTGAAAAATCTAAGTAAAAATTTATTTTAAATTTAATTTGTGAAAATGTTTATTAAAAAAGGATCACTCTCTAGTTTATATTCATTTCATTTTTATTTTATGGTTTTATCTTTGAATAAATAGTAATATAATCATCATTATTTATTTTATGTTAAGATAAGAAAGTTAAGAAATTTTTTTAAAAAAAAATTATAAAAATTACAAAATTAAATTTATCATAACAAAAAAAAAATAAAAAATCTAGCAAAGACAATATTAAACAATAAAGATATATATACTAATAAACTAATCTATGCATATGTATGCAATATATAGTCCCTCCCCTCCATTAATTTTTCCACTTTAAGTAGTTAGTAACTGATGATTAAATAGTTTAATTAAAATAAAAAATTATAAATTATAAAATTTAAAATTTAATTAAAATGTATAATTATATTTTAAAAAATAACAAATTATGTGAACCAAATCAAAGTAAAAAAAAAAAATTATATGGGGCGGTAAAAATACTTATTAATAAACTATAAAATTAATATACTTCGTATTAATAATTATATCTTATTTTTATAATTAATCATCAGATAAAATATATAATGATTATCCAATCATGATAATATAAATAAAATATTTTAACTAAAGAGTATAAAATCTTTTATTAATAATATTTTATTAATTATTATTTTTAAAATAGGTCCTAGGATTAACATTCATCAAAACCAATCAAATATTAAAGGTTTATTTAGATAGAGGTTTTTGGAATGTTGAAAGTTTGAAAAAAAGAAAGAGTAAAAGTTAGTATTTGATTTGATGTTTTGTGAGAGAAAAAAGTAGATTTGATGTGATATTTTTTTGAAAAATGAGTAGTATCAAACGAGTAGAATATGTTGTGTAAACAAAACTTAAGAATTAAAATAACAATATTTTAATATTAACAATAAATAAGTAAAATAAAGTATTAGATAAAATTTATTAAATAATTGATAAAAAAAAGTAATAAAAAATAAAAAACCAAGGGTGTGTTTTTTTAGGGTGGTTTGGAAAAAATTGGATTTGAATTTGGTTTTTATTTGAATTTGAAGATAGGTTCAAATTTATGTGTTTCTTTTGTGTTTAAGTTTGATTTGGGTTTGAAGAGTTTTAACAGTATTGATTTGATGAGTAATGAATATAA